GAGTATATAGAGAATAGAACATTTCAATATTGTGTCCAAACAGAACCAAGCCACAAAATGATAGAGCAATGAAAGTTAGTGCTCAGGGCTCGGCATGACCAGCCGATTGGTTGAACCGGGCCCATTCAACCACCCGTCTAGGTGAAGTAAGGGTCGAAGTGGTGTATTGGGCAAAGGAACACTGTTCCTGGAGCCCTTGCCCTCAACCACCAGAATCCCGTCCTCCACCGACACAGGGGCGCAACCCACGGCAAACAGGTTGGTGGACCAAAATATCCCCCCCGGGAGGTTGAAAGGCGCTTAGCGTGACCCAGCACCCACCACGAGGAGGTGGCCTTTCATGGGTGCCCAACTCTGTAGATCGATGCTCATGATGTTGATCACTGGGTTGTATGATCAGGGCGACACGGGATCCGGTGGTCAGCTCAGTATGATAGTGATTATACCAACTCTGTAGATCGATGCTCATGATGTTGATCACTGGGTTGTATGGTCAGGGCGACACGGGATCGGTGGTCAGCTCAGTATGATCATGATTATACCAACTCTGTAGATCGATGCTCATGATGTTGATCACTGGGTTGTATGATCAGGGCGACACGGGATCCGGTGGTCAGCTCAGGATGATCATGATTATACCAACTCTGTAGATCGATGCTCATGATGTTGATCACTGGGTTGTATGATCAGGGCGACACAGGATCGGTGGTCAGCTCAGGATGATCATGATTATACCAACTCTGTAGATCGATGCTCATGATGTTGATCACTGGGTTGTATGGTCAGGGCGACACGGGATCCGGTGGTCAGCTCAGGATGATCATGATTATACCAACTCTGTAGATCGATGCTCATGATGTTGATCACTGGGTTGTATGGTCAGTGCGACACGGGATCCGGTGGTCAGCTCAGTATGATCATGATTATACAAACTCTGTAGATCGATGCTCATGATGTTGATCACTGGGTTGTATGGTCAGGGCGACACGGGATCCGGTGGTCAGCTCAGGATGATCATGATTATACCAACTCTGTAGATCGATGCTCATGATGACACTCACTAGGTTATCTGGCTCTTATTTCATTATTTAGCGTTAGCTGTACGGAGTTTGGACCACACACACATACTGTACTCTAAAACCAACCGTGTAAACCACTCACTAGGTTGTCTGGCTCTTATTTCATTATTTAAAGTTAGCTGTACGGAGTTTGGACCACACACACATACTGTACTCTCAAACCAACCGTGTAAACCACTCACTAGGTTGTCTGGCTCTTTTTCATTATTTAAAGTTAGCTGTACGGAGTTTGGACCACACACACATACTGTACTCTAAAACCAACCGTGTAAACCACTCACTAGGTTGTCTGGCTCTTTTTCATTATTTAGAGTTAGCTGTACAGAGTTTGGACGACACACACATACTGTACTCTAAAACCAACCGTGTGAACTACTCACTAGGTTGTCTGGCTCTTTTTCATTATTTAAAGTTAAATGTACGGAGTTTGGGTGAGTGAGTGAGTGAGTGAGTTAATATTTAACGTCACATCGGCAATATTTCAGCCATATCGTGACGAGAACATTTGATATTGGAATGAAATATATGGCAATTATAAAAAATCTGCCGCCGAAGGGCAGTAAAACAACTAGAATATCACAGATATACATGTAAAACTAGTAATATAGTCTAAAACATTTTAACCATAGGGGACAACACAATATAAAAAGTAGGCTATAGATCACCAACAACTGAAAGTAGGTCACCATACTAGGGACCATGGGGACTTACATTACTTTTGCTACCTGCATGGACCCTAGCTGGATTTACACCATCCCTTCAGCTGCTGGCGATTGGAAGAAATGTTAGCCAAAATTAAAAGAACAAGAATACTACGTTTAAAAATCCTGGCAAGTTTAAATTGACTTTGAAAGTTTGGGGACTTACGTACCCCCTCAGGAGGACAATAATTTTACACTACGTCAACCCCTTTAAGGGGGTACAGCCACTAACAATCTCAGTTACTAATAGAAACTACCAACAATATAATATTTAACTATTTACAGATCAGTCCACAAATCTAATTCTTTTTAAAAATTCAACTATTAAATGAAAATTAACATTATAAAAGATCCTTCAATGTCTTGACAATAAAATACTTATCCCTTGTGATGAAATATTCAACACAGTCAAGCAGGACATGCTTGACTGTGATTCTTTTCATCACAAGGGATGCAAAACGGAGGATCTTCACCTTTCAGTAAATATTGGTGAGTATATCTAGTGTGGCCAGAGTTTGGACCACACACACATACTGTACTCTAAAACCAACCGTGTAAACCACTCACTAGGTTGTCTGGCTCTTTTTTCATTATTTAGAGTTAGCTGTACGGAGTTTGGACCACACACACATACTGTACTCTAAAACCAACCGTGTAAACCACTCACTAGGTTGTCTGGCTCTTTTTTCATGATTTAAAGTTAGCTGTACGGAGTTTGGACCACACACACATACTGTACTCTAAAACCAACAGTGAAAACCACTCACTCACTCAGTCATGTCCGTCCAAGTGGTTGTCGCCTGGATAAACCCACCAGCCAACTACACAAACAAACAACTACCCAACCTGTTGAGTTGTAGAAAAACTACAAGTCCACCTATCTCACTTGTTTATTTATAACGAACATACATAGGACAGGGGACAATATCTTCCAGTACAGGGGGTGCCGTCTAAGTGCACCTATCTAACTTGTTTATTTATAACGAACATACATAGGACAGGGGACAATATCTTCCAGTACAGGGGGTACCGTCTAAGTGCACCTATCTAACTTGTTTATTTATAACGAACATACATAGGACAGGGGACAACATCTTTCAGTACAGGGGGTGCCGTCTAAGTGCACCTATCTAACGTGTTTATTTATAACGAACATACATAGGACAGGGGACAATATCTTCCAGTAGAGGGGGTACCGTTTAAGTCCACCTATCTCACTTGTTTATTTATAACGAACATACATAGGACAGGGGACAATATCTTCCAGTACAGGGGGTGCTATCTAAGTGCACCTATCTAACTTGTTTATTTATAACGAACATACATAGGACAGGGGACAATATCTTCCAGTACAGGGGGTGCCGTCTAAGTGCACCTATCTAACTTGTTTATTTATACCGAACATACATAGGACAGGGGACAATATCTTCCAGTAGAGGGGTACCGTTTAAGTCCACCTATCTCACTTGTTTATTTATAACGAACATACATAGGACAGGGGACAATATCTTCCAGTAGAGGGGGTGCCGTCTAAGTGCACCTATCTAACTTGTTTATTTATAACGAACATACATAGGACAGGGGACAACATCTTCCAGTACAGGGGGTGCCGTCTAAGTGCACCTATCTAACGTGTTTATTTATAACGAACATACATAGGACAGGGGACAATATCTTCCAGTACAGGGGGTGCCGTCTAAGTGCACCTATCTAACGTGTTTATTTATAACGAACATACATAGGACAGGAGACAATATCTTCCAGTAGAGGGGGTGCTATCTAAGTCCACCTATCTAACGTGTTTATTTATAACGAACATACATAGGACAGGGGACAATATCTTCCAGTACAGGGGGTGCTATCTAAGTCCACCTATCTAACTTGTTTATTTATACCGAACATACATAGGACAGGACACAATATCTTCCAGTAGAGGGGGTGCCATCTAAGTCCACCTATCTAACTTGTTTATTTATAACGAACATACATAGGGCAGGGGACATCTTTCAGTACAGGGGGTTCCGTCTACGTCCACCTATCTAACTCGTTTATTTATAACGAACATACATAGGACAGGGGACAATATCTTCCAGTACAGGGGGTGCCGTCTAAGTCCACCTATCTAACGTGTTTATTTATACCGAACATACATAGGACAGGACACAATATCTTCCAGTAGAGGGGGTGCTATCTAAGTCCACCTATCTAACTTGTTTATTTATACCGAACATACATAGGACAGGACACAATATCTTCCAGTACAGGGGGTGCCATCTAAGTGCACCTATCTAACGTGTTTATTTATAACGAACATACATAGGACAGGAGACAATATCTTCCAGTACAGGGGGTGCTATCTAAGTCCACCTATCTAACCTGTTTATTTATAACGAACATGCATAGGACAGGGGACAATATCTTCCCGTACAGGGGGTGCCGTCTAAGTGCACCTATCTAACTTGTTTATTTATAACGAACATACATAGGACAGGGGACAACATCTTCCAGTACAGGGGGTGCCATCTTAGTGCACCTATCTAACTTGTTTATTTATAACGAACAGACATAGGACAGCGGACAATATCTTCCATTACAGGGGTTGCTATCTAAGTGCACCTATCTAACGTGTTTATTTATACGAACATAAATAGGACAGGGGGCAACATCTTCCAGTAGAGGGGGTGCTATCTAACTCCACCTATCTAACTTGTTTATTTATAACGATACTCTATATACGGCGAAAGTTACAATTAGACATGTGAGAATTTTAACCCGCACAGTTAATTTTTCCGATAAGCAGAGTACAAGAAGGAGATGGTTTTTCTATGAAAGTTGAGACGACTCATGTGCTAATTATAGACTCGTTTGAGCAACTACATGTCACGTGATGTGTCACTTCCCGTCATTCATCCTGATGTCTGTCTGTCTGTATGTATGTCTATCTAAAACAACGTATTCATCTTACCCAACACCTCAATGTTAATTTTGAACTGATCATGGTATAATAAGGAATGCTAGAGTTAGGCAATTAGCCAATACCCGATGACATAGAAATCTAAAAGGCGACAAGAATAACATCGGTAATTTCCGTACAATAAACGAGATAAAGTATTACTAACACGAAGTACCAAATGAATTACCACAGTTCGGCATTCCCAGCGGGTAACAGAAACTTTTTACTGGTATGCAAATACGTTGAAAATAATAGAAGAGCGCTCAGTCAATCAGAAAACGACATTTATGTGTGAGGTAAGATAAAGTTGTATACTCTAAACTGCTTTAGTGGTATTTGTGGGTAGGACCTGGAGGTACAAGTAGGCAGATCATCATATCTCCAGAACCGCCACTGTTACGACTGTTTCCCCAATCAAGCCGTGGTGATCGTATACTCCAACCAGTGACCAGCCTGTTGTTTATAGATACATCTATCTACTCAGTCCTCAGTCCCCTATCGGTGAAACATAGTTCACTTCAGTTTTCTGATCGTCAACGCCAGGTAACAGTGTGCTGTATGTGTCGTCATCAACGTCCCCGGCTACGTCGTGGAAATAGTCGGCCAACACCAGCATTGGACACGGCATCTCTACTTCTTCCTGCTTCCTCGCTGCCCGAGCTCTGTCAACGTCTTCATCAGTGACCTCACAGTAGTCCATCAACGCTGGTCCGGGGTCAACTTCATTGATACTGTAACACATATACTGTACGTTACTGTAACACATATACTGTACGTTACTGTACCACTGTACCCAGACTTAATAGAGAGGTAAACAGTGGGATTTACTAAAACTAGAACCTGACCTATCTGGACATGCTTCTCTGCCGGACCACGTCTAGAACCTGACCTATCTGGACATGCTTCTCTACCGGACCACGTCTAGAACCTGACCTATCTGGACATGCTTCTCTACCGGACCACGTCTAGAACCTGACCTATCTGGACATACTTCTATACCGGACCACGTCTAGAACCTGACCTATCTGGACATACTTCTCTGCCGGACCACGTCTAGAAACCTATCTGGACCTTCTCTGGGACATAGCTCTCTATTATGGGACCACGTCTAGAACCTGACCTATCTGGTCATACTTCTATACCGGACCACGTCTAGAACCTGACCTATCTGGACATACTTCTCTACCGGACCACGTCTTCAGAGCTGAATATACTAGGTTAAACGTTCATCTGCTATACTCTGATTTGTTTCTCCGTAAATATCGTACTGAACTTCCGGGTTAAAATGTACGTAATGGACGCACCTTAGCCCACTAGGCACACCTGTCAGGCTGCTCTCTTAAACAGCTTGGCAATACTTTTGACACAAATGGTTTAATCATTGCAGCCTGTAATTTCCTATACTAAAATCGAATCTTTCGTTTATAAACTAGGGGAACAGTTAAAGTATATATATGACAGAAATAGAGCTGGTAGATCTAATGAGTACTCAGTTTAATTTCAAATCATAAACAATGAGCTTTATTCGTCCTGATTGGTTTGGTTGGTTTGTTGTTTAACGCCGCACCCAGCAATATTCCAGCTCTATGGCGGCGGTCTGTAAATAATCCAGTCTGTACTAGACAATCCAGTGATCAACAGCATTAGCATCGATCTACGCAACGGAGAAATGATGACATGTGCCAACCAAGTCAGCGAGCCTGAGCACCCGATCTTGTTAGTCGCCTCGTGCGACAAGCATGAGTTGCTGAAGATCAAGTTTAACCCGGATCTTCACAGGTTTAGTTGTCATGAGGCACACAATGGGGACCCCGTGATGACTGCACATACATACCTGGTTGTTCTAGAACTACGATTGTAACAGAGACAGACTGCAAGCAGGATGAAGACGACGAGGACGACGGATGCTGTTGGTGCCGCTGCCATTATGATGGTGGAGTAGCTGCTGTCATGGCCTGTCAAAGTAAACATGATCTCATGATCAGGTCTACTGTCTTGCATATATGTTTAAGTGTGTACTTAAGTTTGTTGCAATTAAACTCTAGGGTCATCTTGTACCCAACTTGGCATAGGACACGGGGACGCGGGGATTTGGGTATGCGTGGATGTGGATCTCAGCTCCCTGGGGAACATACAACTTATGAATGTTTTACCTTGGTGGCAGGATCCTGTGAGGCAGTCAGCTATGGAGCAGTTGTTCCTGCAGGCGGGCTCACAGTCGAGAGCGGTGGTGTTGCAGCCGCTAATGCAGAACCCAGACATCCGATCACACAGACCATCGCGACATACATTACACGTCTGGTTGCAGGACTCCCCATAGAACCCCGTCATACATGCTGTACAATCTCCTCCCATATACCCAGTCACACAGCCGTCCACACAATCGCCAGTAGAGCTGCATCTGCCGTTCAGGCAGTTGGTGTTACAAGGTGAGGAGCACTCCGGACCGTACCAGCCATCTTTACATCCGTCGACACAGTCGCCAGCAGGGCTGCATCTGCCGTTGAGGCAGTTGGTGTTGCACTGGTAGGAACACTGAGTACCGTACCAGCCGTCGACACATCCATGGACGCATACACCGTTTCTCTGATGACACTCAGGTCGTGTAGACGTCCCATCTCCCCTAGAGTCGCGGGTTGTGTTGGGGATGAGGCGACAGTTGGCACTACAGTTCGCGTCACACACATAACCGTAATATCCGTGGACGCACCCTTGAAGACATCCAAACTTGCAGGAACCCACACAGTTGGCGCAGGAATACTCACAGTCCGGGCCGAAGGTTAGTGTGTGGCATTCGGCACAGGTTCCTGTCATCCTGTTGCAGGACTTACATCGACTGGAACACGACTTACAGCCAGTCCCGTAGTAGGAGTCTACACATCCAGACACACAGGATGACCCCACCTGACAATATCCTCCATCACAGCCACCTGGACATGCTGTACAGCTACCTCCTGGACTGTCACATGGTATGTTGCAGCTGTTGCCCTGGTATCCTAGGACGCAGCCGTCGGTACAGTCGTCGTTGCCGGTGGTGGAGAGGTGGCACTTACCGTGTCGGCAGTTCTTGCTGCAGATCGACTTGCACTGCAGACCAAAATACCCGTCACTACACTCCGTATCACAGTGTCCGGTGTACCTGTCGCAGTCGGAGCAGTGCTGGCTGTCTGTGCAGTCACCAGCTGGAAATATCAAAGTAAAATAAATAAATGTGAGATTGCCTTTCCCACAGCTACAAGACGCTACATCTGCTACAGCGGAATTGACTGTGCCATTCAGACTGTATCATGAGCACGTGTTTATGATTTAGTCTCAAACAGTGATGACACCGGGAGGTCACAGAAGGTGGGGTGGTCACGGACCAGTTACAGAAGGTGGGCGTATCCTGCCCACCTTCACACCCGGGGTCACCGGTCACAGAAGGTGGGCGTATCCTGCCCCACCTGGGGACACCGGTCACAGAAGGTGGGCGTATCCTGCCCCACCCGGGGACACCGGTCACAGAAGGTGGGCGTGTCCTGCCCCACCCGGGTACACCGGTCACAGAAGGTGGGCGTGTCCTGCCCGACCCGGACATCGGACACAGAAGGTGGGGCGTCCTGCCACACACGGGGACACCGGACACAGAAGGTGGGCGTGTCCTGCCCCACCTGGGGACACCGGTCACAGAAGGTGGGCGTGTCCTGCCCCACCCGGGGACACCGGTCACAGAAGGTGGGCGCGTCCTTCCCAACCTAGGGACACCGGTCACAGAAGGTGGGTGTCCTGCCCGACCCAGGGACACCGGTCACAGAAGGTGGGCGTATCCTGCCCGACCCAGGGACACCGGACACACACGGGGACACCGGTCACAGAAGGGAACAAGACAAAACAGGAACTGTCACTGACATCATTAGTTTGTCAATGGTGCGTCATGTATGACAATTTCCTTTTCAAGTCTATCATATTCAAATGAAATGCGCTCAGGCCTTGAAATTAGCAAACTCGGTAAAACTCGACTGTGTGTCTTTCTGTTAAATGTCCCTCGAAACACCATGCTCAATTGTACCTCCAAAGTTGTAAAACCTAGACACCAAATGCTGGAGCTGTTGGGATATTGCTCGTCATAAAGAGCCAGCTGGCTGTTGAAAGTTGAAGTTATCTCTTGTGTCAGCATACACACTTGTGGAAAGTTATTTCAATGAAATGAGCATGTGGTGATCAATGAAATACTTGTTGTCTCCTTAATTTCAAGAAAAGTTTGGTGAAACAGTGAAATGGAATTGGCTATTTAACAGTTATTGAACGATATCAGATCATCGATAAACCAGAAGTTTTAATAAATCTTTTTCGCCAAATTACCTCCTTCTGTGTCGAAATTATAAGCACAAAGAAACATACCCACAATTTGTAGCCATCGAAATGCCTACATGTTTTTGAATATCTCAACCGAAGATACCTGAAGCTTAAGGTAAACTTCTTAGCCAGATGTCCTTGTTTGGATTATGCCAATCCTGGCAGAAATTCGGATTCATATGCACAAAGAAGCAATCCGCTAAGACGGGAACACAATTGGTACCCGTTGGTACCCATGTGTTTCACCCAAAAATTGTACATGGATGTTGTCAATGTGGAAGACCCCCAGTTCATATAATGGTTTCTCAATAAACTTCAAATGACATTTGCTTTCATTTTGGACAAATTGTCTTGGACTACTGACGTACTTGGTAAAATATGGCATTATCCTTGACATGAACTAACAAAATATTATCATGAGGCAGCTGAAATATAATTGTTATATGATAGAATCGTACCCATTCTTTAGAGAAGAGTGGCATAAGGTTTGGCCTTTGGCTTTTTTGTTTGGAACGCTTCTGTATGAGAGGTCAAGGAAGATGTAACAAAATGTTTGAACTTTCACGTGTTGAGGATTGCCTGAGGAGCAATATCCTCAGATGGTTAAAAACACAATCAAGTCACTCCCAATGTGTCTTGGAACCTGACCCGTCGACTTAAACGATGCTCGAGAAACACCCTGGAGTACGAGAGATGAAGTGGGTTTTGTTTTACGCCGCAGTGAGAAGTATTCCAGAAATGGACGGCCAGAAATGGACTTCGGTCATCCTGTACCCTTGTCATCCTCGATAATCTCCAGGGTATATGTTCCGATAAATCTCCACAAATACCCTGGATGCATCTATGGCTCGGCCCGATAATTTATCCGTTAAACCAACGAGTGTCAACAAAGATAGCGGTCCGAAAGTTTGCTGACTTAACATTCTCAAAGTAGCCAAACAGATAAGAATCCGTTACTAAACTTAAGCGAGCTTGCGCAGTGTCAACAAACTGAGCAGACCAGTCCTTGTTGTACCCATTAATGGTCGCAGCAGGGCGAAGGTTTGTCTCGGTAAAGTTTTAAGGGCTCTAAAAACATACACACAAATTGACAGGTCTACACACAAATTGACAGGTCTGAAAAAATATCTGCCAGCAAGAACTCCTCCTTCCTCTTTCAGAGTACTTCTGCATCAATTGCGTTGCCAAGTTTAAAGGGTTAGATAATTTTAGAAGCGAAAGTGAGTTGTGATTGGTACGCTCAACTTCCCAGCGTAGACATCTAATTGGATAAAAAGCCAGCCAGATTGATCGTAGCGTTTACCCTGAAAATAATCGAGGATGTACCCTTGTAGGAAAACACCCTAACATCTAAACAACCCTGCAACCGCCATGAGCTGCAGGAAAACGTGACCGTCAGGCCAAAACATAAGTGTGCATACCTTGAACAGATAGACCTGTACACAGCAGACAGATGACTCTCAACACAAACATATCGGATCTGTAAACATAAAGTGGTGATTACCGCAAGGAGAACATGAGCAAACATAACGTAGTATGGTTCTTATAGACTCAACAGAATAACTTGTAACTTCTAGTTCTTATAGACTCAACAGAATAACTTGTAACTTCTAGTTCTTATAGACTCAACAGAATAACTTGTAACTTCTAGTTCTTATAGACTCAACAGAATAACTTGTAACTTCTAGTTCTTATAGACTCAACTTCTAGTTCTTATAGACTCAACAGAGATCAACAGAATAACTGTAACTTCTAGTTCTTATAGACTCAACAGAATAACTTGTAACTTCTAGTTCTTATAGACTCAACAGAATAACTTGTAACTTCTAGTTCTTATAGACTCAACAGAATAACTTGTAACTTCTAGTTCTTATAGACTCAACAGAATAACTTGTAACTTCTAGTTCTTATAGACTCAACAGAATAACTTGTAACTTCTAGTTCTTATAGACTCAACAGAATAACTTTGTAACTTCTAGTTCTTATAGACTCAACAGAATAACTTGTAACTTCTAGTTCTTATAGACTCAACAGAATAACTTGTAACTTCTAGTTCTTATAGACTCAACAGAATAACTTGTAACTTCTATAGACTCAACAGAATTCTTGTAACTTCTAGTTCTTATAGACTCAACAGAATAACTTGTAACTTCTAGTTCTTATAGACTCAACAGAATAACAGAATTGTAACTTCTAGTTCTTATAGACTCAACAGAATAACTTGTAACTTCTAGTTCTTATAGACTCAACAGAATAACTTGTAACTTCTAGTTCTCATAGACTCAACAGAATAACTTGTAACTTCTAGTTCTTATGTAACTCAACAGAATAACTTGTAACTTCTAGTTCTTATAGACTCAACAGAATAACTTGTAACTTCTAGTTCTTATAAACTCAACAGAATAACTTGTAACTTCTAGTTCTTATAGACTCAACAGAATAACTTGTAACTTCTAGTTCTTATAGACTCAACAGAATAACTTGTAACTTCTAGTTCTTATAGACTTATAAGACTCAACAAGAATAATAACTTCTGTACTTCTTCTTATAGACTCAACAGAATAACTTGTAACTTCTAGTTCTTATAGACTCAACAGAATAACTTGTAACTTCTAGTTCTTATAGACTCAACAGAATAACTTGTAAGTTCTTATAGACTCAACAGAATAACTTGTAACTTCTAGTTCTTATAGACTCAACAGAATAACTTGTAACTTCTAGTTCTTATAGACTCAACAGAATAACTTGTAACTTCTAGTTCTTATAGACTCAACAGAATAACTTGTAACTTCTAGTTCTTATAGACTCAACAGAATAACTTGTAACTTCTAGTTCTTATAGACTCAACAGAATAACTTGTAACTTCTAGTTCTTATAGACTCAACAGAATAACTTGTAACTTCTAGTTCTTATAGACTCAACAGAATAACTTGTAACTTCTAGTTCTTATAGACTCAACAGAATAACTTGTAACTTCTAGTTCTTATAGACTCAACAGAATAACTTGTAACTTCTAGTTCTTATAGACTCAACAGAATAACTTGTAACTTCTAGTTCTTATAGACTCAACAGAATAACTTGTAACTTCTAGTTCTTATAGACTCAACAGAATAACTTGTAACTTCTAGTTCTTATAGACTCAACAGAATAACTTGTAACTTCTAGTTCTTATAGACTCAACAGAATAACTTGTAACTTCTAGTTCTTATAGACTCAACAGAATAACTTGTAACTTCTAGTTCTTATAGACTCAACAGAATAACTTGTAACTTCTAGTTCTTATAGACTCAACAGAATATTCCCCACATTACCGATACGGGGGATTATGGATGTCACCTTCTTCTTTATTGTATACACCCGTGAAGATCCGGGTTAGAATTGATCTTCAGTAACTCATGCTTGTCTATCCGTGAAGATCCGGATTAGAATTGATATTCAGTAACCTATGCTTGTCTACCCGTGAAGGTCTGGGTTAGAATTGATCTTCAGTAACCCACGCTTGTCTACCCGTGAAGATCAGGGTTAGAATTGATCTTCAGTAACCCATGCTTGTCTACCCGTGAATGTCTGGGTTAGAATTGATATTCGGTAACCCTTGCTTGTCTACCCGTGAAGATCCGGGTTAGAGTTGATCTTCAGTAACCCATGCTTGTCTACCCTTGAAGATCCGGGTTAGAATTGATCTTCAGTAACCCATGCTTGTCCTAACAGGCGACAAACGGGATCGGGTGGTCAGGTTCGCTGACTTGGTTGACACACGTCATCGTATCCCAATTGCGTAGATCGATGCTCATGTTGTTGATCACTGAATTGTCTGGTCCAGACTCGATTATTTACAGACCGCCGCCATATAGCTGGAATATTGCTGAGTGCGGCGTAAAACTAAACTCACTTACTCACTTTATTGCATAGACAACGATTCAGGGCCTTGCCTTGTCCCTTCGGCTGGAAGGATATGGTATTGAAGCGTTTCAGTTACTAGTATAAAGCTTACCTTTGATGAATACATTTGAAACAATCAAGGCAAGACACATCAAGGATCTGACTTATATGAACTTTGAAACCTTGTACCGCAGATCAGCAACGATGACCTACGATGTGCCGTCGATGTAGACGTCGGGTAAGATCAGTGATCCATTGTTCAGTTAGACTTCAAATGTAATATCCAAGTATAAGTGTGTCAAGTCAAAACAAAAGATACATGCACCTACCACTGATGTACAATCAAACGTTGAATCGAAATCAGGCGAATAAAGACAATGACCTACCAATGACGGATACTTGGAGTCGACGAATTCAAGGCCGGCCAAGCCAGAACAACAGTCCAGTCTTGACTGAAGGCAATGAAGCTGGTTTTGACAGTTTTCGTTTTCCTTCTTCCCGGTATCACTGTGACAGCCTGAGTGAGACATCCCTAGATATACTGTTTGTTATCTAACTGTTTGAACTTAGATCACCGATTGTTAAATGAAACTCGTGGGTAGTTCTTCTTTCTTCAGCCTAGCTTTGGGATTTGTATGCCCCATGTGTGCTTGTCTTTTTCATATGCCTCCGACTGGGAATGATCGGACCATTTCTCCTGCCCAAGTCTGTCACTTTGCTTGGAAAACGGAAGAAATGGTGGCTTTCCATTGTGAGATGATTCCGTGCATCCCCAGGCAACAGAATACACCACCGTACCATTTACAAAAACGACAGAGTGAGTGAGTGAGTGAGTTACTATTTAACGTCACATCGGCAATATTTCAGCCATATCGCGACGAAAAACGACAGAAACAACACGATTTGTAATACTGTAGCGCTTGGTCTTTGGCAATATGGCGGACTCCAGGCACATTTGACGTCACGAGCCAAAAGGTTACGTGGGTTCCGGCGAAATATGCATAATGGCCGAAGCTGAGATTTACAGAAACTGTTTTCGCGATTAAAACATAATTATACATAATTTTTAATTGAAAAATTGGGAATATGTTTCTTTATCTTTCACCCACCAAATTATTGCAATTCGCTCGTATTCTCTCGTTAAGGGATTCTCCGTTAAGGGAATTCTAGATATATACATATTGTTTGAACTCTAGATATACTGTTTGTTATCTAACTGTTTGAACATAGATCACATATTGTTTAAGGGAACTCTAGATATACAGTTTGTTATCTAACTGTTTGAACATAGATCACATATTGTTTAAGGGAACTCTAGATATACAGTTTGTTATCTAACTGTTTGAACATAGATCACATATTGTTTAAGGGAACTCAAGATATACTGTTTGTTATCTAACTGTTTGAACATAGATCACATATTGTTTAAGGGAACTCTAGATATATACTGTTTGTTATCTTAGACTCACTGTTTGAACATAGATCACATATTGTTTAAGGGAACTCTAGATATATACAGTTTGTTATCTAACTGTTTGAACTTAGATCACAGATTGTTCAAGATAACTTTAGATATATACAGTTAGTTATCTAACTGTTTGAACATAGATCACGCATTGTTTAAGAGAACTCTAGATATATACAGTTTGTTATCTAACTGTTTGAACTTAGATCACGCATTGTATATACTGTATGTTATCTAACTGTTTGAACATAGATCACGCATTGTTTAAGAGAACTCTAGATATATACAGTTTGTTATCTAACTGTTTGGACTGAGATCACAGATTGTTTAAGGGAACTCTAGATATACACTGTTTGTTATCTAACTGTTTGAACATAGATCACGCATTGTTTAAGGGAACTCTAGATATATACTGTTTGTTATCTAACTGTTTGAACTTAGATCACATATGTATATACTGTTTGTTATCTAACTGTTTGAACATAGATCACGCATTGTTTAAGGGAACTCTAGATATATACCGTTTGTTATCTAACTGTTTAAACTTAGATCACATAGATATATACTGTTTGTTATCTAACTGTTTGAACATAGATCACGCATTGTTTAAGGGAACTCTAGATATATACAGTTTGTTATATTACTGTTCGAACTTAGATCACATAGATATATACAGTTTGTTATCTAACCGTTTGGACCGAGATCACAGATTGTTTAAGGGTAGTCTAGATAGATACTGTTTTCTATGCGACTGTTTGAACTAGGATCACAGATTGTTTAAGGAAACTCTAGATATATACAGTTTGTTATCTAACTGTTTGGACTGAGATCACAGATTGTTTAAGGGAATTCTAGATATATACTGTTTGTTATCCGACTGTTTGAACTGAGATCACGGATTGTTTTAGGGAACTCGTGATATACTCCTTCATGTTAACCCTTCTGGAATAAGGAGAAGGCCTGCGTCAGTAATTACATGATTTTTGTTGGTACATATAATCCGTTGGTATATGACCAGATGGCGGCCACATGTATACGTGCAAACACCTAGTTGCGGGTACAGAAATGTGCAGTGAACTTGGACAAAGTACTGTGACTATGTGTCCCAGTCCAACCAGCTGTGAATGGGTACCTCGTAAGGATGAGAAAGACGTAAAACTCGGTGCACCTAGTGCCTGCAAGAGTTGTATGATCCCCGGGGAGTTGAGACTGATAATAAGATGTGCCGTTGATATTGACATCCAGTGCTCAAGGGAAACAATACGAGCGCCTTGAGCATGTACTAGTTACGTGGATATGTGCGCCATATAAGTATCTTATAATAATAGTTATGATTTGCTGGATTTTTTTGTTGTAATCTAACTGTTTGAAAGACCCTCACAGTAAAGTTGTGTGAGGGTGATGGGATAGCGTAGTGGTTAAAGCGTTCACTCGTCAGGCTGAAGACCCGCGTTCGATTCCCTACATAGGTACAATATGTGAAGCCTATTTCTGGTGTTCCCCGCAATGATATTGCTGGAATATTGCTAAAAGCGGCGTAAGACCATACTCACTCATACTTCTCAATATGTCTGTCACAATCCTAGCTTGTGTAACTAGATAGACTGCTTCCCGTAAGACGGTTTCCACTAAGATCCTTGTTTGTGTAAGGGAACACTACATAGACCGCTTCCCGTAAGACGGTTTCCACTAAGATCCCTGTTTGTGTAAGGGAACACTACATTGACCGCTTCCCGTAAGACGGTTTCCACTAAGATCCCTGTTTGTGTAAGGGAACACTGTCCACTACACCAATATAATTGTATTATGACACATGTGGCAAATGTTCAAACACCCATGGCCATCCAATTTCGGGGATGTTTTCCAGAAGGCAGTTGAATTACTTCCGTGGTGCCCCAAGGCTGTAAAGCTAACGGAAAGAAAACATAGTCAGATGCTAAATACTGTGATGGTATTACAAATACCAGTATTTAATGTGCCAGTATGCAAAGTGTTAGCATTTAATGTGCCAGTATTTAATGTGTCGGTAATTAATGTGCCGGTAATTAATGTGTCGGTAATTAATATGCCGGTATCTACTGTGCCAGTATTTAATGTGCCAGTATTTAATTTGCCATTAATTAATGTGCCAGTATTTAATGTGCCAACCTTTATTGTGCCAGTATTTAATGTGCCAATATATATGTGCCAGTATTGAAATGTGCCAGTATCTACTGCCAGTATTTAAGGTGCCATTATTTAATGTGCTAGCAATTAATGTGCCATTATTTAAAGGTCACATGCAACGTAAAACACAACTTTGCAGATTCTGATACCTTTCGGTATGGACGGACCGAAACAAATCATCAAAAATGCAACTTCAACTTATAAAGTGGAAAAATAACGCGATGAAGAAACCGCGCGAAATCGGAGTTCAAACGATTCACTAATTTTCCCCCGAAAATTTCTGGGGAAAACGGGTTTCAACAGCCGGGCTGCGCTCATAGCATGTGCGCAGTGAAATAGGTTCGCGCAACTTGGAAGCGGGCTGTCTGGTGAATACTCGGTGAAGCTTTGGTGTGAGCTATTTTCATAATGTTTTGTACATATCTCACAGGCGCGAGCTTTTTATATGTTATGACAGTAAATAAACTGTTTATATAATTTCATTTGTCTATTTCACCGCACGTTCTTCTTACCGAGTCACTTTTTCAGTTTGATACTTAAAAGCAATGTCATTATTTAGCGTTGACAGAATTTCTAACTGTGATATAGATATGTCGCTGTCACAGACAAAACTCAATATCTTGTTTTATTGACACCTGTGTGTCTGCCTGCCTGTCTGCTAATGACAATATTCAATACACAACTGCGATCACTGACCACATGCAATTTGAACTTAACACCAATCAGGCTATACACCATAAACAAAATGCATTGATTTATGGCCGAGTTCGGTCTCTGTCATATTATGTAATTACACAGACAGGCAGGTGTGATACTTGAACACATGACATGTTCTGATGTCTGTTGATTGCAAAATGTTATACACAAAATGAGCATGTATTTACAAAACCCAACATCTCTATATATACACACACAATGAGCTGTGAGGGCGGCATCTGCAAATGAACCAGCCGTTACACTTGAGTGCACACCCACAAGCTCTGACTGGGTTCGGTATCCCGGCTGCTTCGTTTCGAGGGAGGTAAACCCAAGTACAAAATATTGCACTTTTGATTTGCGATTATACGCTTATAATTTTGTTTATTTGTTTTTTTCATAATCAGCAATGCATATTATATGTCATGAAGAAGTGATAATTGTGTTTTAATTATGTTTGATTTTTTGGTTGCATGTTACCTTTAATGTGCCATTATTTAAAGTGCTAGCATTTAATTTGCCAGTCTTTCAGGTGCTAGCATTGAATGTGCCGGTATTTAATGTGCCAGTATTTAATGTGCCAGTATTTAATGTGCCAGTATTTACTGTGCCAGTATTTAATGTGCCAGTATTTAATGTGCTAGCATTTAATGTGCCATTATTTAATGTGCCAGTATTTACTGTACCAGTTTTTAATGTGCCATTATTTAATGTGCTAGCATTAAATGTGCCAGTATTTAAAGTGCTAGCATTTAATTTGCCAGTATTTAAGGTGCTAGCATTTAATGTGCCGGTAATTAATGTGACAGTATTTAAAGTGCTAGTATCTAATGTGCTAGTATTTAAGGTGCTAGCATGTAACGTGCCAGTATTTAATGTGTCAGTATTTAACGTGCCAGTATTTAATGTGACAGTATTTACTGTGACAGTATTTAAAGTGCCAGTATTTAATGTCCCAGTCTGTACTGTGCCAGTATTTAAATTGCTAGTATTTAATGTTCCAGTATATAAGGTGCTAGCATTCAATGTGCCATTTAATGTGACGAGAAGAATATTTCAGTTTACAGTTGAAGTTGATAAAGCAAGGGCATAATATATGTGTCACATGTGGGAGAGACGTGTTCAAGTGATGTTTACCCTCAGATAGTCACACAGGTTTCCCGGGAACTGAAACAGCAATAATAAACAGGAAGATTCTCTACACTGCAACCGAAAATCGACAATAGACAATGACATGACTTGTCACTGAAAGCTATGCAGCATAGTTTGGGAAGACTGTTGAAATTAACAAAACACTTGACCAGAAGTACCCCACCCCCATTACCCTCCCTCCTCTAGCCTATTGTCCCATTGTCACCGTGTTGTCATGTTTTATGTCACGATGACCCAGCCTGGTCCTAGATTTTATTGTAAAAGTGACACGTCATGTCCTCCTCCCATAAGGTCAGTGCGTCCGGACACGGGGTCACATGAAAATTTCATACTGTTTCATCTACATCTATAGTTACTTCACGTTACTTGTCAGCAAAAAAAGGGAACTGGCAAACAGCTGGCGAACTTCAGAATTAGAATTAGTTTCAACAAAATAAGAACTGCGTTGTATTGTGGGATTGTGTGGTCCATTACAGGATTGTGTGGTCCATCACTGGATTGCGTGGTCCATCACTGGATTGTGAGGTCCATCATTGGATTGTGTGGCCCATCTCTGGACTGGCTGGTGCATCACTGGATTGGCTGGTCCATCAGTGGGTTGCCTGTCCATCACGGAACTGTGTGGTCTATCACGGGATTGTGTGGTCCATCACGGGATTGTGTGGTCCATCTGTGTACTGGCTGGTCCATCACTGGATTGGCTGGTCCATCAGTGGGTTGCCTGTCCATCACGGGACTGTGTGGTCCATCACTGGATTGTGTGGTCCATCACTGGATTGGCTGGTACATCAGTGGGTTGCCTGTCCATTACGGGATTGTGTGGTCCATCATGGGATTGTGTGGTCCATCTCTGGACTGGCTGGTGCATCACTGGATTGGCTGGTCCATCAGTGGGTTGCCTGTCAATCACTGGACTGGCTGGTCCATCAGTGGGTTGCCTGTCCATCACTGGATTGTGTGAGACATGATTGTTTACAAGACATAGTTGTACGGCAAAGTACTACTATAAACAGAAGCGGCAAAACTCCTTCCACGTTTCTAAAAGTGTCGATTGTACAGTTGTGACTATATCAGGAGTGAGTGAGTGAGTGAGTTTTAGTTTTACGCCGCACTCAGCAATATTCCAGCTATATGGCGGCGGTCTGTAAATAATCGAGTCTGGACCAGACAATCCAGTGATCAACAGCATGAGCATCAATCTGCGCAATTGGGAACCGATGGCATGTGTCAACCAAGTCAGCGAGCCTGACCGTTCGACAAGCATGGGTTACCGAAGGCACATTCTAACCAGGGCCTACACCGGCAGATATTTGGAGCAGATATTTGTTTCAGCAGCATTACAGCTGTATGATGTTGTTTGTAAACAAACCGAGTCCAGACCAGACAATCCAGTGATTGTCACCATGTGATACGATGACAAATCATGAGTTAATAAATCACTATGCAATAGTGGTGATACCAGGTGTTCGCGAAAAGGTGAGCGTATCCTGCCCCACCGGTGGCACCCGTCATAAACATATGCTAAGTCCAGTCATTTGTTCACTTGAAATAATTCGGGAACGTATGTAAAAGTCAAACTTGGGATGCATTAAATTTGTCTAACATAAAACTTTTTGAAAGCTTCACTGAGGCCTTGAATGTTGAAAAAAAACAACTTCTGACGCGAAGTCCAGCATTTCACAGACAGCTTTCTAGGTAAACTTCAAAATGACATTTGCTTTCAATTTTGGCAAACTGTCCTGAACCTCTAAAGATAGATATGTAGGCATACCTGTGTTCACCATGTTTGTTTACAAATGCCCACTGTATCATCGAATGATGCAAATCTATCGTGCAGGGCAGCCAGACTTTGGATTACAGCTGGCTCTGAAAGAATGGGTTTATCTAATTCTGTTTCCTCATTTTTAGGTTGTTAATTTCACCAATGAAAACATCACGCACTGGCGTAACCCACTCTGAGAGGCGTTAGTTCACGGACAAACACAAACATGATTATATAAACTGTGGCTGGTGTTCCAGGTAGGACAGAACATGCTTACGCATTTTCTCATACCTGGAGCTCGTCAGCGACTTTACATCTATCAATTCACATAATTTCACCACTGTGTCCTCTTCAGTTTCAGTAGCAGGCTTGACCTTAGAGGGCTTGAGACAATGGCTGCACACGTGTCATTAGACCAGCACGAGTAGTCTCCCTTTGTGGAACATCTCCAACTGGTTCTGGGCTCTCATTTTTCCGCTACCTATTTTCTCAGTAATAACACTAATAATATTATATCCTTCCAGGTCGTAACATCCTTACTTAGCTCTGCAATGTGCTGGATGCATGTAATGTGATCTACTTAGCGGACTGTTTAATATATGTTCAAGGGACAACAGTTTACCATCCTAGATTCCTGTGATTCTGTTGAGACATTATAAGTTGTATGCTTCTCTCGAGGGTAATACGGTCTGATGTTCGCCTCTTTGTAGGAGTGTCACCCGAGCCTGTAGGCGAGGGATAATATGCTACAAAGAGGCATTTATCAGACTGTATTACCCGAGGGGAGAAGCATACAACGTATTTATCTTACCGACATGTTTACTGTACAAAATATCATTTTACTTTATTTAAAATATCGCTACCGACTATGTGACGTTTAAACAAAATGGCCCGACTGGATTTTTAAAATCAGTGAAACATATTCTGACAAGCTTAAAAGTGCTATAAAATGTTCAATTATGATTAAATTGAGTGTGCAAACGATGTATAGAATAGTTTAAATAAAGCAGTGAAAACTGGTAAGATAAATGTGTACATAGTGAACGAAAAAAACAGCTAATCGAACAGTCTTCGAATCCCGGCACTGCATGCGTCATATTATGACGTCATATGATTGTTAGCGACACAGCTTCTCGGCGGAGAGTTTGGCGGTTAACGTGGCAGTGGGTAATAATTTGTTCCAGTTGTCACCCTCCTGGGAGGGGTGACACGGAAACTTGATAAGATACGACGTCATCCTGTGGGGATCATGACAGATACAATTTTCTCATGACAGCTTTATTTCAAGAGGCGCGTTTCTTCAGTCGATCTTCACCTTCGCCTTACACTATTGAAACCAGCAGATAACTCTCCTGTCCTGGTCGTCATAGAAATGGAAACCACACTCTTGTAGACCACGTGATGTCCAGCAGTCATTGCTGTTAACACAATATGGTATCAAATAGAATGGGTAGAATGGGCAGATATACTGCCTGCATTTGCTAGACACATTAAGGTATCAAACTGAACTAAACTATATATACTGGTACTGGAATAAAGTAACTGTGCATTATTTGATGTTATGCCATTTTTAATGCCAAAAGATGGTAACATGAATTATAGTGTTTTCCTTAATCACTGTTTAACTGCTGACAGGATAATATCGAATCCGTATGATTTGCCACCAGGCATCATGACATGCCATTGGAGAGATTTTGTGTCAAAAGTCAGTTCACAAATTCAGTATGGTGTGTGTCACCATTGGCGTTCATGCAGGCTTAACAGCTAAGACACTAAGTGATTGAAGAAAGCTTGGGAAATGCTGTTCCATGTCTGAACCAACACTTGTCTCAATTCATCTGACGACAATGGCTGATTCTGGGCTTGACATAAACGTCGATAGGGGACTGGTAACAGATGGCCAGGAGAGTACCTGATCACAACACGAGCGACGGACAATATCCCTGTATGGCACACCTGCCAGCTTACCATTGACAATGACAAGTTGTATTCGATCATAAGATGTGACCCTTCCCCATACCATAACGCTATCGCCACTGGCGACTTTGAGCAACGCACGCGTCAGCATACCGATCACCTCGTCGTCTGTACACCCTTGCTCTGCCATCTGAGCTGTCCAGATCAAGTCTCGACTCTTCAGTGAACAAAACAGCACTTATCTTGTTTCCTTGTACCGAAGATGCTGTCGACACCAGGCAAGTTGTGCCTATCGGTGACGTTGGAGCAAAATTGGATGTATTGCAGGCCGTCGGGGCCGAATGTTGTGCACTCTCAGTCGGTTTCGTAAAATCGTGGAACAGATTGGGCGTAAGCCAGGAATTATTGAGCAGTCAAACTGGCAGTCTGGAATCGATGCCTTAGATGCGTCAGCCGAATGTGGTTGCCTTGCTGACATGACGTCACGACGACCTCTTCAGCACAGATCCCCAACACCGCTTACTCGTCTCCTTTACATGGATGACATCGAGCTCCTTGTCAAAGGAGATACCACTTTAAAGGAATAAGTTCTCATTGTCGAGTCCTTTTCTAATGATATTGGCATGACATTTGGACTCGACAAATGTAATACTCTTCATTTGAAACGTGGCAAGGCAGTTAATAGTGGATCGGTCAGGTTACAAGGGGGAGGAGTTATTGAGCATCTTGTGGAAGATCAGGCCTACACCTATCCTGGAATGCAAGTTCGAGACAAGCTCCAGAATGCCCAGATTCAAGACAAACTTACACTTACAAGTGCAAATCACGTTTAAAGAAAATCTGGAGCTCAGAGCTAAATGCTCGAAACAAGGTCAAAGCCACCAATACTTTTTCTGTGCCAGTCCTTTCATATTCCTTTGGAGTAGTTGATTGGACAAAACAAGACATACAGAGTCTTGACCGTCTGACCAGAAGGATCATGTCTGATAACAGAGCCCACCACCCTCGTTCTTCTCTTAACCGTTTATACATGCCAATCAATTCTGGAGGTCGGTGTTTGATTAATGTGGAGGCTCTTCATGAAATAATTTTATTGTGTACTTTTGCACATATCTTTATCAGATGATCCTCTAGTGATGCATGTGAAGATTCATGATGAAAGCAAGGAATTCCACAGCTATTTTAAGCGTGCCAAGGTTGTTTGACAGAATCTGAGATTTGAGGTTGATTTTGTTGATGGCGATGTACTGCTGGACGGTACAGTGATGGGAGTAAACCAGGTGAAGTCCTTTACCAAGTCTGCCCAGAGTCGGTCTTTTGTGGAGAAGCTTTCTGAGAAGCCATTGCATCGTGTGTACATGCAGTGTGTTGAACAGAATAGCAATCCCACCGACCCCTTCGCCTGGATGAAGTCGGCTGGTCTTAAATGTGAAACTGAGGGCTTCCTTTTTTGCTGCTCAGGACCAGTCACTTCCCACTCGCAATCGCCTAAATGTGACTTTTAAAGAAAATATCAATATGAAATGTCGACTTTGCAATGAATTCACAGAGACTGTCCAACACCTTGTCAGTGGATGCCCTTCCTTGGCACAAACAGCATATCTTAAACGACATAATGGCATGGCTCGTTGCTTTTACTACCGTCTCCGACATGCCTGTGGCTTTGACTCCGAGGTCCATCCATGGTACGACCCTGAACATGTCCAGGGCGTCATGAAAAATGACGCTTTCAAACTTCAGTGGAATAGTCCCATATACAGCCTCAGAAGAATTCCAGCCAACAAACCTGATCTTGTCCTTTTTGATAAAGCCAATGAATTTATTTATATCATTGAATTTTCTGTCCCTTTTGACAGCAATGTGATTGGCAAGATTCAGGAAAAGCATGATAAATATGCGGAGTTCGCCTTTGAAATGTCTCGCTTGCATCCCATGTACACTGTCGCCAGGCTCCCCATTGTTCTTGGTGCCCTTGGTTTGGTACCTTCTGATCTCTTGGCGCAGATCAGGAGAGTGCCCGGGTTCTCCACCGGGAGTACAGCCCTTCTGACACTCTGGGTAATGCAGAAGGCTGCATTTTTGGGGAGCCTTCATATTCTCCGGAAAGTTCTTGGTGGGTTCGACTAGGCAGCGTTTCCTGGGAGAAGTCCCATTCGCTGTCTGGGCTGCGTGTAGAGGGGGCGAGGGCGCTGAGCTGATGATGAGCCTTACCAGCCTGACTGTGCCCTCTCTGCAGCATACTATCTTTAATCTGTAAAACATAATAATGGAGCAAAATCTATTCTTCAATTTTCAATATCCAGTGTGTGAACTTCAGGTGTCAACAGCTTCACTGTGCACAAGCAGACGTGCCATGTGTGATACACGGCATCAAATTGCATGCAAAGTTCTTTGCTATATGTTTAATAATGGTTTACTTTATAATTTTTTCAAATAACGTTTATCTTATTCAATTTTAAGTTACGCACCAGTAACGTTTTTCCCGTTATTGGCTATTTATAAAACGCCTGTATCTATGCACGTTTTATTACAGTGTGGGCCCAGACTGTCAGTGTGGCTCTAAAAGGTTAGCAGTCATATGACTTATCCACCGAGTACCCACTCACTGCTTGTGGACAGCGGCAATTCTGAACAAACTCAGTTGCCTAGGGTGAGACCACCTGTGTCACATATGCCTTACTGTGGGGCAGGACTGAAGTCCTAGAAACGTTTAGGAGTCAAGCTGCCAAACTCGTTCTCCCATCCAAGAACCAACGTTGCTTAACTTCAACTGATATGTAACCTGGACTCTATGCACAAAGACCACACACCACCACGACACCAGATATATGTCTCCCTAGCTTGACACAATGAGGTGTAAAACAGAAAACTCAAAACATAATGTCGGCCTTGTCAACACACAACATGTAAAGATTTGTTTTCAATGTGTTTAAAGAGATGTGAGAGCGATTGCTATACTTACAAGCACCTGGCCTGTGGGTGGAGAGGACACACCTCATATGTCGGACAGTTGGACACGTGTGTCATGGCAACAGGCTCCCCCCACGCCATTGTCAGACCTTAGATGGAACATAACACCATGCATTTGGATGTCGATAGTATCTAATAGTATCAGATGTACATAGAGATAATGTAAAATGTTTGTTTTCCTCCTATATAACAACTGTGTACAGTGTAGCAGTGAGACATTAGCCCCAGCCTTGCTCCCTTCTGCCGTATCTGTTTCTGTGTGCACATGACAGAGGTAAAACTAGATAATGTAAAATGTTTGTTTTCCTCCTATATAACAACTGTGTACAGTGTAGCAATGAGACATTAGCCCCAGTCTGGGTCCCTCCTACCGTATCTGTTTCTGTGTGCACATGGCAGGGGTAAAACAAGATAATGTAAAATGTTCGTTTTTCTCCTATATAACAACTGTGTACGATGTAGCAGTGAGACATTAGCCCCAGCCTTGCTCCCTCCTACCGTATCTGTTTCTGTGTGCACATGGCAGAGGTAAAACAAGATAATGTAAAATGTTTGTTTTTCTCCTATATAACAACTGTGTACAGTGTAGCAGTGAGACATTAGCCCCAGCCTTGCTCCCTCCTACCGTATCTGTTTCTGTGTGCACATGGCAGGGGTAAAACAAGATAATGTAAAATGTTCGTTTTTCTCCTATATAACAACTGTGTACAGTGTAGCAGTGAGACATTAGCCCCAGCCTTGCTCCCTCCTACCGTATCTGTTTCTGTGTGCACATGGCAGAGGTAAAACAAGATAATGTAAAATGTTTGTTTTTCTCCTATGTAACAAATGTGTACAGAGAAACAGTGAGACATTAGCCCCAGCCTTGCTCCCTCCTACCGTATCTGTTTCTGTGTGCACACGGCAGAGGCAAAACAAGATAATGTAAAATGTTTGTTTTTCTCCTATGTAACAAATGTGTACGATGTAGCAGTGAGACATTAGCCCCAGCCTTGCTCCCTCCTACCGTATCTGTTTCTGTGTGCACATGGCAGGGGTAAAACAAGCCAACGTGGCCAGGAAACTAAGGTTAATCCAATATTGTGCAATAGCAATCAAACATGCAGTCAAGTCCCTTCCACTGATGTAACCTCCAGAGCTTGAAATATAGACCACCTGTTGGACCGCCTCATGTGTTTCCTATTCAGATCTAAGCCTACAGATTCAGGGTGACAAGAAACTCTTCAATGCTGCATGAGTGAGTGAGTGGGTTATTACTTAACGTCACATCGGCAATATCTCAGCCATATCGTGACGAAAACATTTTATACACTATAAAGCAAAGCTGCATGACAAAAGGGATGATTTCAGCTTTCCAACAGTCAACCTCCCTTCACGTGGAGCAATACACAAACAGCTCCAGCCTTTGGTGTTAAGGTTTCACAACAAGTGAGGTACAATCGTGAAAAATCTTTTACCAGCTTTTCAAGGAGAGTCATTCTGCTCTTGCCCAGGGTTACGATATTCAAGGCCTCACTAAGACTTCATTGACAGTGGCAAAAATGATGTCCCATGTAATTTTCTTTTTGACTTGTACCATATGTTTTTACCTGCTCTCATCATTACTTAGGGGTGATTCATAAACACTGTGGTCTTAGTGTAGACACCTCGTGGTGGGGATTTTGTCGCTGCTTTACTTCTGTTCGACAATGATAAATAGTAGACAATATAGCCTTTATACCACAATAGTAGACAATGTAGCCTTTATACCCCAACAGTAGACAATGTAGCCTTTATACCACAATAGTTCACAATGTAGCCTTTATACCACAATAGTAGACAATGTAGCCTTTATACCACAATAGTAGACACTATAACCTTTATACCACAATAGTAGACAATGTAGCCTTTATACCACAATAGTAGACAATGTAGCCTTTATACCACAATAGTAGACAATATAACCTGTATACCACAATAGTAGACAATGTAGCCTTTATACCCCAATAGTAGACAATATAGCCTTTATACCACAATAGTAGACAATATAGCCTTTATACCACAATAGTAGACAATATAGCCTTTATACCACAATAGTAGACAATATAGCCTTTATACCACAATAGTAGACAATATAGCCTTTATACCACAATAGTAGACAATGTAGCCTTTATACCACAACAGTAGACAATATAGCCTTTATACCACAATAGTAGACAATATAGCATTTATACCACAATAGTAGACAATGAAGCCTTTATACCACAATAGTAGACAATATAACATTTATACCACAATAGTAGACAATATAGCCTTTATACCACAATAGTAGACAATGAAGCCTTTATACCACAATAGTAGACAATATAGCCTTTATACCACACTAGCAGACAATATAGCATTTATACCACAATAGTAGACAATGAAGCCTTTATACCACACTAGTAGACAATGAAGCCTTTATACCACAATAGTAGACAATATAGCCTTATACCACAATAGTAGACAATATAGCCTTTATACCACAATAGTAGACAATATAGCCTTATACCACAATAGTAGACAATATAGCCTTTATACCACACTAGCAGACAATGCAGCATTTATACCACAATAGTAGACAATGAATCCTTTATACCACAATAGTAGACAATATAGCCTTTATACCACAATAGTAGACAATATAGCCTTCATACCACAATAGTAGACAATATAGCCTTTATACCACAATAGTAGACAATGAAGCCTTTATACCACAATAGTAGACAATGAAGCCTTTATACCACAACAGTAGACAATATAGCATTTATACCACAATAGTAGACGATGAAGCCTTTATACCACAATAGTAGACAATGAAGCCTTTATACCACAATAGTAGACAATATAACATTTATACCACAATAGTAGACATTATAGCCTTGATACCACAATAGTAGACAATGAGGCCTTTATACCTCAATAGTAGACAATATAGCCTTTATACCACACTAGCAGACAATATAGCATTGATACCACAATAGTAGACAATGAAGCCTTTATACCACACTAGTAGACAATGCAGCCTTTATTCCAAAATAGTAGACAATGAATCCTTTATACCACAATAGTAGACAATATAGCCTTTATACCACAATAGTAGACAATGAGGCCTTTATGTCATAATAGTATACAATGAAGCCTTTATACCACAATAGTAGATAATATAGCCTTTATACCACAATAGTAGACAATATAGCCTTATACCACAATAGTAGACAATATAGCCTTTATACCACAATAGTAGACAATATAGCCTTTATACCACACTAGCAGACAATATAGCATTTATACCACAATAGTAGACAATGAAGCCTTTATACCACACTAGTAGACAATGCAGCATTTATACCAAAATAGTAGACAATGAATCCTTTATACCACAATAGTAGACAATATAGCCTTTATATCACAATAGTAGACAATATAGCCTTGATACCTCAATAGTAGACAACACAAGTATGTCAATATTTGTGTTGTATTGTGTTGTCATTGAAAGGTTAGTAAAGGTGAGTTAATACATCACTTACGCATTGCACATCACGGAAATGCTGCGAACATTCTTTAAATGTCTAACATGGTCTGTAACCCATCTATTGAGCTTAAATCCAACTTACTGAACACGACAAGCAGAATTATTCGCAAATCCATAATGAGGTGTTGCTGTGTCTGTTGTCTACAGAAAGTGACACAACGTTAGAGAGAGCGTCCAGGTGTCCCCAAACAAGTCAGGCCTGTCTCGATAAGGAAGGTAGGGTGTAACCAGAACAACTGCCAGTTATCTGTAATCATTTACTGCAAGTGTGTGTACATGACCGACAGCTAGTGTTCACAGTGTTATGACCATGCAGAGTATGGGACTAGTACCACCTGACAGAGCAGGAACAGCAATGACATCACAACATTCATGCTACCCTGTGATTCTCAGGTCGCATGTCTCATCACTGCTTTCATATATCCAAGTGAGCGAGTGAGTTTAGTTTTACGCCACACTCAGCAATATTCCAGCTATATGGTGGCGGTCTGTAAATAATCAAGAATGGATCAGACAAACCCATGATGAACAGCATGAGCATCGATCCTCGCAATTGGGATACGATGACATGTGTCAACAAAGTCAGCGCACTGACCATCCGATCCCGTTAGTCGCCTCTTACGACAAGCATGGGTTACTGAAGACCAATTTTAACCCGGATTTTCACGGGTTTCATATATCCAAATCATAACCGCGAATAGTCAGTACAAATGGACAAAAATGTCTCGAGGCTGACTGTATAATTATATTCCAGGGAATAGCATTGTTCACATAAGGTGAAATCCAGTGAAATTACCAACAGAACTCGTTTGAACTAATCTAAACTCAGAATAGATCCCTGTGGAACACAAAACGTCTACCAACATCTGAGTGGTGGAACTCTGACGGATTTAACCCTCTTAACCACTTCTGTGAGACCTTTTGTCAGTCTGGTTTGTTCTACTGAAGCTGCCCAATATCAACTTGAACTGCTGGCATTATCTCGTCTCTTGCCACTGATATAACAGGGTGTTCACGAACAACACAGGCCGTGATTTAGTGTGAAGCATTTTCTGTAAACAGTAGTCAGAACAAACGCTCTAAACCCTGCATGTCGCGGGTCCTCGCCGACGATATGATAATGAGGACTGAGGCGACGATGATAGTGTAAAAAAGGCTTTATTGTCCATCAGATAGATAACAACAATGTACAATGCCACAGAGCGTATAAAATATTAACATTAAAAAGTAACATTTTTATCATATTTGATATAATGATAAAATGTATGTATAATGTACATGGAACCCCAACGGTCCTTTCACTCGCAATCTTACTTACATGATGTCGTGCTGAACAATGTCTAGTGATAGAGTACAGTATTCACGACTCTTACTGTTTAGATTCTGCAATCGCGTCAGCTATTCCAATAATAACGGTTTATCATACCGAAAGCAGATAGAGAAGCGTACATATATGTAACATATATATCACAGTGATGTCAGCAAATGATCAAACGAGGAACAAAAAACGTTCTCCCTCAGCTGGGAGAGGAGACGCGGACGTAAAAGGGCATGATAAAGCGGGATACTCTTGCATGACATTCAACACACGTCAATTCAATAATAATGACATACAATAATAGAAATAATAATCAGTGGCATCCTAATACAGTCTAAGTCAGGTAATACAATCAATGTGTGGTACAACAGGGTTTGTACGGTAACTGCTTACAGAAACATTATACAAATAATACAACATTTCCTTGAGTAACTACGGTACTGATAAATAACATAATCTCACGTATAAATTAACCATCAACAACAATTGCAGAGGACAATTACGGAGAGACGTGCTTGACAATTCAATTACAGCATGTAGTGCCTGATTCGATAACTACTCGATTTATGACTATTACGGTCTGTCGCACTTAATGCAGTAACTACGGTAAGGATTTACGACTATTACGGTCTGTTGCGTTTAATGCAGTAACTACAGTAGGGATTTACGACTATTACGGTCTGTCGCGCTTAATGCAGTAACTACAGTAGGAATTTATGACTATTACGGTCTGTCGCGCTTAATGCAGTAACTACAGTAGGGATTTACGACTATTACGGTCTGTCGTCCAGTAATGCAAATTCAGTAACTACAGTAGGGATTTACGACTATTACGGTCTGTCGCGCTTAATGCAGTAACTACAGTAGGAATTTATGACTATTACGGTCTGTCGCGCTTAATGCAGTAACTACAGTAGGGATTTACGACTATTACGGTATGTCGTGCTAAATGCAGTAACTACAGTAGGGATTTACAACTATTACGGTCTGTCGCGCTTAATGCAGTAGCTACAGTAATTTACAGCTATTACGGTCTGTCGCGCTTAATGCAGTAACTACAGTAGGAATTTATTACTATTACGGTCTGTCGCGCTTAATGCAGTAACTACAGTAGGAATTTATGATGAATTCTACAACGCCACAAGATCAAAGGTTTCTCAATTATTAGAATCAGAATCTTTTCAGCACATTGCAGCCCTGAAAGAACAAGTTACCCGGAGTGAAGTCAGCAGCATAGTTAAGAACCTCAAGAAGTCAAAAGCTCCTGGAGATGACAATGTACAAAACGAACACATCATCTATGGTGGACAAACTTTAACAGCATATATAGTAAATCTGTTCAATGGAATGCTAAAGCTCGGTTTTATTCCAAATCGTTGTAAGTCAGGAATAATTATTCCTATCCACAAGGGGGGCAACAAACCAAAGAACGATCCCGGAAATTATCGTCCAATAACCCTGCTCCCTGTCATTTATAAGCTCTTTGAGAAACTTTTGCACAACAGACTAACATCCTGGCTCACGCTAAACAACTTCACAATTCCAAATCAGCAACAACAGGGTTACCAAAGGGGAATCGGATGCATGACTGCAGAGTTCAACCTAACGGAATCAATATGTCATAATCTTGAATTAGGAAGCAAAGTTTATACATCATTTTTAGACAATAAAAGAGCTTTTGATACAGTGTGGCACAACGGCCTGTTTCTGAAGCTGTATCAACTTGGCATTACAGGGCAATCCTGGAGAATCCTTATCAACGCATACACCAACCTCGAGAGTTCAGTCTTTGTAAATGGCATTCAGTCTAGACTCTTCCCCGTACACCAAGGTGTAAGACAAGGCGGTGTGTTGTCCACTCTCTTATATCTCATTTTCACTGATGAACTTCTTGACGAACTTGAGGCATCAAGATGTGGTGTGAATGTTATTGATCTTAAACTTGGAAATCCAACATTGGCTGATGACATCACCCTACTTGCAATCACACCAGAGACCCTGCAGACCCTCTTGGATATTGTGTCGAAGTATTCACAGAAGTGGAGGTATGAACTTAACCCCTCCAAATGCCACGTAATTGTGTTTGGGTCCAAAGCTGGTCACTCCTCAACCTTGTGACCTGTGCAACACTGTGCACACTGACCTACTGAGACACGTGATGTTATCATGTAACCATCTGAGGGACCATTATGAGAACTTCTGGTCAGTCATCACAGACAGATTCCCACTTCAATTGACAGTGACTCTAAGTAGCACTGACGACGAGTCTCTCCTTCAGCACCTGATCGGACGACCTTGTGATGCAATATCTGACTCTGATTGCAGTGACCTATTCTATGACCTAAGTGCATCATTTGTAATGAAAATCATGGCCACCTACCAAAGAGAGCTTTCAATTCACAATTATGAACAGTGAGAGGCATTATGCAGATGCCACAGACATATGAATGATACTTTATCCGTGATATTATACATGTTCCAATATGTTTGCAATTCCTAATCAAACCAACTCCTTAACTACTAACATCTCTTTTTGAAAACATGTAAATGTCCATCTACTGTCCAAATTTGTAAATATCTTCACAATAATCTCCTAATGGAGGAAATAAAGATTATGATGATGATGATGAAATACATGCATTTAGCAAGTGCGGTAAACGGCGCGAAGTGCTCAGATTTGACCTATGCCGTCGGACGCTCTAACCACTACACCAAGGAGGCGGTGCGTATCTGTTGTAAATATTATTTGATCGGCGGACTATCGTAAAATACGGAATAACTGACCTACATACCAATTCATCTTTGCTAGAAATGATTGTATAAACTCTCGGAAATGTTTTTGTGAATAGGGTACTGGAATCTAGGCTACTGAACGAGAATCTAACCTGCATATACAGATCTAACACGCAACTGAATACAACAAGACAAGGACTGGGGATATACACATGAGTGTTGAAACATAGAAATATTTGTTTGTACATGAAACACATAAAACTTGAGGAGCCCAAGACACAATGTGCATAGATATCACTGGATAGTGCCTAATTATTAATCGGTTATCTAGAACTAGCATTTACAAAGGTAGGTATTTCTAAAAGTGCTGCAATATCGTAGGGATGTTTCAAACTTAACTCTAACATTTTATAGACAATAATTACAAAGAACTTAACAAGTTAGACATAAACAAAAATAATGTTTAAATGTTTCTTACCTTGAAACAAGAAAGGAGAGAGCTGTGAGTTCCTTGGGTTTATTCAAGCAAGTGTGCCTGAGATGGAAGAGCCCAGGATTTACTAACCCACTCATTTGTCATTATCCAGTTTCCCTAAAGTTGGAGATTCCATATGCCTTATCTATCCTACGCTGACAAAGTATGCTACACGAGGTAGTTGGTAAGGGAAGTACCCGAGAAGAAAGGACGGAGCCGACACAGCTCACTGTCTTCATCTTTGATTAATTAGTTTATGGTTGGCGTGGACCGGTTTGATAATAGACTACCACTGTGCTTGACATGCGGGGCTATAAACGAGAAACACTATGCACAGCGACTTGCACCTATACAGATTTCCTTTGTTAAGACTAATTTATGAAAAATATATAAAAAAGTGTATGATGAAGCATATGAACTGTAATACGTACACGGATTACATACAGAAACATCATATTATTATATTTCTCCAGGTAAGTCGTTTATGTCTTCGCAGTCGACATCATTAGCAGTCATAGGTCTTTTACATTTGATTATCGGAAAATCCTTTACTTGTTTTAAACACAGGATGCCATTGGTTACTGTCGAAGAATTGTTCGGACGTTGTTCATTTCAACCAATCAAAGCACTGGTTGCAAATAATACTACGATCAGTAATAGGATCGATATGTAAAACCACTATTAACGATCGTCGGTAGTCAGGATGTG